CCGATGACAAAGATTACCTGAATTTAGTTTTGTTAACAATCATTAGTTTCCTGTTTTGGGAATTTAAGGCATTTCTCGGCAAAGAGAAAAAGTTGTTGACTTCGGAGGACACTCTGTCGCCATTTGCGGTGATAATCCAAGACTGCGATGGCTTACAACGATTGAATCAAATCAATAGTCACCGCCGGGACAAAGAGTCCAACAATAAGTACTATACGCCGACACAAGAGGAACGGCGAGTCGAGGAAATAATGGCGCTGGCCTTTCACATGGAGACCCGATCCCTGGAGCGGAAACAGTCCGTATATGTTTTGTACACTTTTCCAGAAGTTAATATCAAGGTACAACAGCAACAGTGTTTGGGCTGTAAGAAAGAGATGGACCCCCAGAAGAAGTTTGTGAGGGCCGACACCACCATATTCTCGTGCAAACACCTCAACCTTTGCAGGGGGTGTGCCGTCAAAGGGATCACCAAAATGTATAACCAAGAGTCAGCTCTGCCCACATGTAAGTCATACAAATGTAGTGGTGGTATACCTGAAGACATACCATGGATGATGTTTGTTGATAGTATTGTTGGTTATGTAAGTCATATTGTATGCAATTATATTACCGTAATATGATTTATTAGTTGTGTTTCTATTTGTTTGTTTCATTTAGTATTACGAACTTAAGGCTCGAGTTGAACAACAATTTGAAAATAGTGATTTTATTAAATTGAATAAATAAACATCTTATTAACTAATATTCTTTAAGTTTATATTTAACATAAAATACTTTTACTATCATATATAATATGAATACTTTTATGAATATAAAGAATTTAGTTTAATCTTAAGAGTTATTTGTTTTTGTTATTTTGCGTTCATAATAAATATAACAAATATCATTTATTCCCACATTTTATTAATCAATAAAAAATTATATAAATATATCTATACCGGTAAATTTACTGAATAATTAAAAAAAATAAAATAATGCATTTCACATAATATCTATTCATTTATGAAGTGTTTATGAATTTGATAATTGGTTTCTTTTTGGTGACATTTCTAGAGGCTTGCGGCACCGATAATATGCCGTCCACTGACACGCTATGTTCACTGCGAACACCACTGAAACGGTCATCGATGGTGTGGTAATTGGTCTCCAATTGGTTGACAACTCCTTTCAAGACAACGCTTTCAATGCAAACACACTTCGACCGCAACT